GGTGAATGGATTAAACTGTGGTACAGCCATATAATAGAATATTATTCTGTGTTAAAAAGAAATAAGTTATCAAGTCATGAAAAGACATGGTAGAACTTAAATGCATATTATATTACTAAGTGAAAGAAGCTAATGCGAAAAGATTACACAATTCCAACTCTACAACATTCTGGAAAAGGTAAAATTATGGAGACAGTAAAAGGATCAGTGGTTTCCAGGGAGTAGGAGGAGAGATGAATAGGCAGAGCACAGAGGATTTTTAGGGCAGTAAAAATACACTGTATGATACCATAATGATGGATATATATCATTATATTTTGGTCCAAATCCACAGAATGTACAAGAATGGACTTTGAATGATTTTGATGTGTCAATGTAGGTTTATCAACTGTAACAAATATACCGCTCGGGTGGGAACTGCTAATAATGGAGGAATCTCACCCCTGGGACAGGGTGTGTATAGGAAATCTCTATACCTTCCTTTCCATTTTGCTGTGAACCTAAAACTGTGAAAAAGTCAATTTTTTTTAAATGACATTTTAAAAAAGATCAATCTCTGCTTTATAAAGAATGGAGAAACAAAATAAGCCTGGAGTCAGGTAACATAGAGTTGACAATGCCAAAACCATCATGAGTGAGCCATATTCTGTTTTATAAATATTGATCTTTTCCCATAAACAAAATCTGAGGGAATTCATTACCACCACACCTTCCTATACATCCTACAATTCCTTACTGGTATGTTTTCATTCCTGCTAATAAAACAGTTAAGGCAGTTAATGTTAACATTCAACTGTGTGAATAATAGTGATATGTCCAAATAATTTCAATGTATCATCCCATGCTTACTAAAAACCTCTTAATTTTGACAAGATACTTGGAAATTTGTTTTGCTTGGTTGCAGATAATCTACAAACTGAAGAGTTGTTGTCCCTGTTGGCTGCTCCATCCAAATATGTCTTTCTGACTTCATAATACAGGGTTACCACTGACTCCCACATCCTTGGTCCTACAGGTTCACAGAAACTAAGTCACTTAGATACTCATACAAAAAGGCCTTAGCCACTTTGTTTAATCTGTTTGGCTTAGGAGAACAAGTATTTATTTCTCAATCCTCTATCCAAAATATGGGGTTATAACTAGGTCTTGTTTCAGCCCATGATAATAAACAAGGACATGCCAAGGCACATACCCTCAACTCCTCTTATATCAGCCCAATGCCCTGCCTCCTGATGGTCCAGAAAACAAGTTCTTCCTTTATTTCCTCTTAGATTCCTTTGCCTCTCTCCCAAGACTGTATAACAAAAAGCTCAAATCTTGCCCGGCCAGATATTTTACTTCCTGTCTTTGTTCCTCTTCCCCTTCTTAAATTGTCTCTTTTCCTCATCATCCCCAAACAGAATGACTCAAGACCACACATTCTCAAATACAGAGGAAAATCCTCATTAAGTAGAATTTCTCAAAGGGGAAAAGATAATAATGCATACCTACCAAGTAATTAATCCACTGCCTGTTCCCCAAGCAGATGAGCACCAGGCAGACAGAATCCCTAAAAGCTAGCTTTGGCTTTTCTATTAACTTCTCAGACCCTGGGCAAGTCACACTGCTGAGATTCAAATTCTGGCCCTACCACTTACTTGTTGTTTAATCTTGGTCAAATTAAACTTTTGCACTTCAGTGTCCCCATCTGAAAGGTGGAGATAATCATAGTCCTACCTCACAGGGGTGCTGTGAAGATTAAATAAATTAATACATGTAAAACACTGAACAGGGTCAGGAACATAGTAAGAACTCAATGTGTATTAGCTATTACTACATTCAAGGCACTCGAAACATAGGAATAAGTGAGATAGAAAAGGTCCTTGCTCTCCTGGACTTTACATCCTCAAAGGGGGGAAAGATAATAGACAAGTAAGTAAATAAGGATAATTCCAAATTGTGGTAACACTATAAACAGGATGATGGAATGGGGATGGAGACTTCAGATAACATAGTTATAGACGGAAGATGAGACGGAACCATAATGCAAGGAGCTAGAGGAATAAACTTCAAATGCAAAGCCTGTGAGGTCGGAACGATCTTGGAGAGTTCTAGAAACAGCAAGGAAGCCAGTGTGGCTGAAGATTGGTGACCTCTGGGAGGAGTGGTAGAAGCCAAGACTTAGGCAAAGGCCATATTCAATAGAACAATGCGAGCCTTGTTTAAAGGCTGGATTTTTTTCTAAATGCTGAAAGAATCCAGTGGAGGGTTTAGTAGATTTAATATTATTCGATCTATGTTTTAAGAGGACCCTTTCTAGATCTCTGTGAAAGCAGAGCCTAAGAACAACCTGCTCTGCTAACAAAATTTTAACTCTGCCAAGGAACTTAAAGGTCATCAAAATTTATCTCCGAAGTCCCTCCCAGCTCCAACAATCAGTGATTCTATGCTGAAACTGAAAGAAGCAGACCTTCAATTTCTTTGATTTCTCAGCAACACAATGTAAGTATAGAGTTTCGTTATTCCTTTCCTTCCGGGTCCTTGGTTTTGAATGGTTGAGTTGTGTCAAATAAATGTTTTTAATTGCTCTTGTTTCTTTCCTCCAAATTCCCGAATGCTAATCAGCAATTTTCCACTAATGAAGTGTCTGAAACTAAAAACAGCTTCCCAGGTGCTATCTCACTAGGGCCGAACAGAAATAGCCATTATCTCCCTGCTTTGTGACAAGAGGCCAGCATCGTATTTTTCTCGCACTATTATACCACAGACATGTACCTAATTTGCCATTTAGCATCACCCCTGGGTCTCTCACAGACATTACTATTTTCCAGGTATTGCCCTCCCCATGAAAAAATTTCTTTCCAATTACTTTTCCCCAGATGCCTCTACTTGAAAATTTTCCAAGTTAAGTGTCATTCTCTTCGCCATGTTGCTAATGTTTTATATAATTTCTTTGGCTTTCCTGGTGTGTACAACATATCCTTTCCTAGGGTCATCTGAAAATTTCATTAGCATGTTTGTGGACAGGATGTAGTTGGAAGGGAATTGTTGAGGGATCTATCTTCTGTTCCTTTATTAGTTACGAATTGGTTCTAGAAATGGAAAAAGAACTCCTCCATCAAAAGTAGAAACGCCCTTGCATTTTTCTTGCATGCACATACTTAAAAATATTCTCGGTTCTCTGGACCTTTTTTTAAAAAAAACTTCTTGCCATGATATAGAATGAAACCTTTATATCAGGGTCCCCAACATAAGGGTCATGGACATGATGCCAGTGGGACTCCCGTGAACCCCCTGCAATTGTATTCACAATGTATTCACGTTATTGTGTTCTTGAGTCCACATGCAGTGTTCTAGGGAAAAGACCCATAGCTCTCCTTATATTTAATTAGAAAGTCATAGGAGAGCATAAATCAAAAAAAGAACCACTCTCATATCATTATTTCTTAAAAAGTAAGCCAGCAATCAACTGTACTGAAATCACATGAGATACTTATTACCAGCTTCCTGTGTATTTTTCTAGAATCTGTTCAAACAAACCCCCCAGGTGATTTCTATGATGTTATGCACAATAAAATTTGAGTCATTGCTCTGTAAAGAGAAAAAACGAATGTTTGCCTACATTAAACACTGTCCTAATCAGACTGACTTTCTCCCTTGCCCATCTGAGATTTGAGTTACTGCATCCTGAAACATTTTTAATATATATATGATGTATAGATGGTATCTATATGTATATATACACATATAATACATATAATCTAATAGTACCACTCATTAAAAATTGTTTATGAAGGAATTTTTATTACATTAGGGAAAATGCTCTTGATTTATTAAACAATAGAAGACTAGAATTGTATGTATAATATGTATTCAATTATAAAATATATAAACGTAGGAGGGCACACACCTGTGTGTGTGTATGCATTTCTCAGTTACTTAACTATGTAGAAAACAAAAAAAGGAAGTATACCAAAGTATTAAGTGTTTATCTTTGGTTGATGGGGTTACAGTTTATGTTTTTATGCATTAAAAATTTATTTTCAATGAGCATATAATACTATATAAACAGAAATTTAGGTTTTTTATTCCTGATCTAATATTTTTTAAAGGTTTTATTTTGGTATTGGTCAGCACTTTGCGGTAAGAGAGCATCAATCTAGAGTCCAAAGAAGTTATACCAGTCATTTAACCTGAATTGTAAGATAGGTATAATTATATCTATTTCATGGGGCTATTTTGTGTGTGTGTATGAATAGATACGAAATAAATATGAAAATTCCTTGTAACTCTAAGGATTCACAAACTATAATGAAATTATAATGATGATAAAGTCCTGTGGCCTAAGGGAGGTGGGAGAACCCTTAGGATAACGCCGTACCTTTGTGCTCAGGAGCCTAGGTTGGAAGAGGAGAGATCTAAATGTCAGGAGAAAAATGAGAGCATTTTTTGCCAACACTTAAGAGAAATAATCACATCCTTGAGCCCTCTTCTCCCTTTCTCTTATACTTACAACAAATGCCTCAACATTCTCTCTTCAGTCTCTTACGCAGCCCATGCAAGAAGCAGCTTGTAGTGGCCAGGACCTAGTTCACTTTAAGGCAACAGCAAGTTTGTTTCATGTACTCTGCAAAGTGTAAAAGGCAGCCTATGAAGGCAGTGGCCAGCAGCCTAGTAAGGCCTCTCTAGTCCCAAACCAGGAAGAGGCTATTTCCACTCTGGATGATAAGGGGAAAAAAGGTAAGTTTTAGCTGGGACCATTTGTATTGAGCTTTATCCTTTGCAAGGCTTTCTCAATCAATACCCTTAAGGTCTCACAAATCTATAGAAAATTAGATTTCACAAACAGCAATGACCTTTTAAATCAGTCAGAATTACCAAGAGTAGTATGCAAAATTGTTAGTTTTACATTTAAAAAAGTAATACAGACCTATGGTAAATTTACCTGAGTGAAATGAAAATGTATGCTCACACAAAACCTGCACGCATTTATAACTGCTTTATTCATAACTGCCAAAAGCTGGAAATAACTCAAACATTCTTTAACTGGTAAATGGGTAAACAAATTATCACACCTCATATAACAGAATACTACCTAACCATAAAAAGGACTGAATTACTGACAAACACAACAACATGGATAACTCTCAAATGCATTATGCTAAGTAAGGGAAGCCAAATCCAAAAGGCTTATTGTATTATTCCACTTATATGACATTCTGGAAAAGGAAAATTGTAGGAGAGATCTAATTTGGCCAGAGGATGGATGGGGGATGGGTTGAACACAAAGAGACAGTGAAAGGGATTACTGGAAGGTGATGGCACTATTTTTGATTGGATAGCTCCATGAATAGGCATTTGTCAAAAACTAATAGAACAGCACACTAAAAAGTCAATTTTACTATATATATAAATTTTAAAAATAAATGCATAAAAGTAAAAACAAAGTAACAGGCCCATGGCAAATTCAAGCAACAAAAGGAATTCATAAAAAAAACTCCCTCCCAGTCCTTCATGGTGATAGGCTATTTCTGCATTTTGATTGCAGTGATGGTTGTAAATCTACATATGTGATAAAATGAGACAAAAGTACACCACACATTATACCAATGTAAATTTCCTGTTTTGGAGGCATTATACTATAGTCAAGATAGTACCTTAACCACATGGGAGAAACTGGGTGAAGGGTACTAGGAGTTCTGTATTATCGTTGTGACTTCCTGTTAATCTACCTATCTATCTATGTCTATAAAGTATTTATCAACCAAACTTCCAGACTCTAGTCCTGCTCCCCAGAGGTAACACCAATTTTGTGTGCATTCCTCTGCATATTAAAATCTAATATTCTATATATGTATACATGCACATGTAAATTTATACACAAGTACTTTGAATACAAAAAGTAGCATATTATACACAGTTTTGCACCTTGTTCTTTTTCAATTATTACTTTGGGGGTACTTCCATATCACAGACATATGGAGCCACAGCATTTTTTTCTGCTGCATAGTATTCCATCTCGCCGCAACATCATAATATATTTCAACAACGTCTTATTAATGGACATTTGGATCTTAACAAGGAAATGAATGGAAGTAATTTGTAAATTTTTAAAACATGAAAGATCAGCTGGAGTTGAGACCAAACACAAAAGTTTTCAGACTCACAGACTTGTCTTCAGAATATCTTTTGACCAGAAGGGGGACCATAAGAGGTAGGAGAGGCGAAACACTGGGAAATGTTCTGGCCCGTTGGGAAGCGGAGGGGCCTGGGGGGAATTACTGCCGGGTTCGGGTTCGTTGAGGGGCGCTCTACTGCCAGAATAGGAGGCGGTGCTCCAAGCCAAGGTTTCCTTACGCTGCAGCTCGGACATACCTAAGTGCGTCAGGGTCATGCACGTGGCAGGGATGTGTGGCCATCTCCAGCATCCAGCCGGGACCCACGGCCACCGCACAGTCTGAACCTCCACCGCCTCCAGCCCACGCGCGTAGGGGGCGTACACGTGGTGACCTGCCTGGGGCCGGGTTCCCGGCTGGGGCTCCTCCTCCCTCCAGATCTCGCTCTGCTTTTCTGCAGTATCACGTGCAGCTGCGCCGGGTGCAGGATGGCGGCTGCGGCAGGCGCGGTAAGTGTCAGGCTCCGGGACTGCTGCAGCCGAGGCGCTGTGCTGCTGCTCTTCTTCTCCCTGTCCCCTCGGCCCCCGGCTGCCGCCGCCTGGCTGCTGGGCCTGAGGCCCGAGGACACCGCTGGAGGCCGCGTGTCCCTGGAGGGGGGCACCCTGCGCGCCGCGGAAGGCACCAGCTTCCTCCTGCGCGTTTATTTCCAGCCCGGGCCGGCGGCGCCCGCGGCGCCAGTGCCTGTACCCACCCTTTCCCCGGCGGAGAACGGCACCGGCGACTGGGCTCCGCGGCTCATGTTTATCGAGGAGCCCCCGGGCGGGAGCGGCGTGGCTCCCAGCGCTGTCCCCACGCACCCCCCGGGGCCGCAGCGCTGCCGCGAGCAGAGCGACTGGGCGTCCGACGTGGAGGTCCTGGGGCCCCTGCGCCCCGGAGGCGTGGCGGGCTCGGCTCTAGTCCAGGTGCGGGTACGAGAGCTGCGCAAGGGCGAGGCAGAGCGGGGCGGCGCGGGCGGTGGCGGGAAGCTCTTCTCGCTGTGCGCCTGGGACGGGCGCGCTTGGCATCACCACGGCGCTGCCGGTGGCTTCCTGCTGCGCGTCCGCCCGCGGCTCTACAGCCCGGGCGGGAATCTGCTGCCCCCCTCGTGGCTGCGGGCTCTCGGGGCGCTTTTGCTGCTCGCCCTGTCTGCCCTGTTCAGCGGCCTGCGCCTGAGCCTGCTCTCGCTGGACCCGGTGGAGTTACGGGTGCTGCGGAACAGCGGCTCTGCAGCGGAGAAGGAGCAGGCGCGCCGAGTGCAGGCAGTGCGCGGCCGGGGGACCCATCTGCTCTGCACCCTACTCCTGGGCCAAGCCGGAGCCAACGCGGCCCTGGCCGGCTGGCTGTACGCCTCGCTGCCGCCGGGCGTCGGGGGCACCGGTGAAGACTACAGCGAGGCGGGGATTCACTTCCCGTGGCTGCCAGCTCTCGTGTGCACCGGCGCGGTGTTCCTGGGAGCCGAGATCTGCCCCTACTCGGTGTGTTCACGGCACGGGCTCGCCATCGCCTCGCACAGCGTCTGCCTGACCCGGCTTCTGATGGCGGCCGCCTTCCCCGTGTGCTACCCGCTGGGCCGCCTGTTGGACTGGGCCCTGCGTCAGGAGATAAGCACCTTCTACACGCGGGAGAAGCTGCTGGAGACACTGCGGGCCGCGGACCCCTACAGTGACCTGGTGAAGGAGGAGCTTAACATCATCCAGGGCGCCCTGGAGCTGCGCACCAAGGTGGTGGAGGAGGTGCTGACCCCCCTCGGGGACTGCTTCATGCTACGCTCTGACGCCGTGCTGGACTTTGCCACAGTCTCAGAGATCCTGCGCAGCGGCTACACTCGCATCCCAGTGTACGAGGGTGACCAGCGGCACAACATTGTGGACATCCTGTTTGTTAAGGACTTGGCCTTCGTGGACCCGGATGACTGCACACCGCTCCTCACCGTCACCCGCTTCTACAACCGGCCCCTGCACTGCGTCTTCAATGATACACGGCTGGACACGGTGCTGGAGGAGTTTAAGAAGGGTGAGCAGTGGTCTGTCTCTTCCCTCAACTCTTACCCCCTCGAAAGTATTACCCTTTCATACACATGTGAGGCTCTTGGTACCCAAAGCAACTTTCCTATGGTACCAAAAAACTCAAGGAAGTTCCCACCTCATGGTTCCCTAGCTGTTTTCATTTCACTTCTCCCTACCTTCCTTGCAAATGACTGAGCCCTAGCCTCTTCCCCTTTGCTTGGCTCACAAGATGCCCATATTCCTCATTCATTACATTATGGTATTTTTTTCAGGGCCTTACAGTTGCCAGATATCCTGCAAGTTGGACTCTAGGGATAGCCCTTGGAGGTCATTGCATAGGAGGAACCGTTGTAGGTCCACAGGTTTCCATAACAAACAGCCTTTCTTTTAAACTCCTGCCAGTGCTGGAAGCTCACTATTTCCAGGGCAGACTAACTCCATTGCTGGACAGCTCCAGCTGCTGACAATGTCTTTCTAACTTGAAGTAGAAATTTGTCTCAGGAGCTTCTTTTCTCTGAGTCTTAATTCTACCCTTTGAATCACAAGAGTAAGCCCCAGACACCTTAGACATGCTTTGCATTCTTTGCTCATATTTAACTTTACATCAGCTACTCATTGGACACACATCAAGTGCCCAGATTAGACATTAAAAGTTGACTAAGGCAGTGAGGTCCTTGCACTTCAGGGAACTGTGGTCCCCTGAGGTAGAGTGGATCTGGAACTGAGGAAATATTCTGGTAGAAGAACCACTAGAAAACTTGCCTATCTGAATGGTATTTCCCTCATGGCAGTCTCCATCCCCCATTGGATGTCATGGCTGTAACATATTTACTACTTGTATGGAGTTTGTCTTGCAAATCGCCTTCTGGGGTTGAGTATTCAGTTTGGGTACCTTAGGGTGGATCTTGGAATTACACAGTTTGACTGGTTCCCCTAATTAGAGCTGACCCAGAAGGATCCTTTGTTGTTTTTGAACATCTAATCTAACCTTCAAAAGTCACCACTGAAAGCATTCAGGAGACTATCTCACAGACCCTGAAAACAATTCCAGATGTGATTTGAGAACAGTGACATGATTAAAATAAGTGTAGAAACTTCCAGAATGACTATTTTGTAGGAGGCACTCTACAATGAGTCCTGTTGCAGAATTTCTAAATCTGGTCTGAAAAGTCTTGTTAGCGTTCTAGTAGTAGTTAGTCTGTAATTAAGTAGATCACCATAGAGAAAGCAGGACATTGCAGTGAACACCACACCAAGGAAGATATTTTCATGACTTGCTCCTTAAAGTGGTCCATGGATCAGCAGCATGGGCACCTGAAAGCTTCTTGGAAATGCTGAATTCCATGCCTCACTCTAAATCCACTGAATGAAAATCTGCATTTAAACAAGCCCCCAGGTGACTCATGTGTACATGAAAGTCTGAGAAGCACTGCCTTCAGAGAAACCTTATTACCAATGATTGGTAGATTTATTTAGAATAGAATACATACATGCAATAATTATCAAACTGGGTGTTCTCTGGCTTCATGCCATATAACACTGGTCATTTTCTCTAAGAGTTATGTTTGTACCATAGGTTTAGAGAGGAAAGCTGAGTTGAACAAACTACTTTTGTTTACCTTTAAAAATAACTTTTGAAGTCAGTCATAAAAGCCCTTCCATTTCCCTCAGTTCTTTGCATCTGAAGTAACTTAACTACCTAAACAAACCCCTTAGTAGGTATGAGAGGAAAATGATAATATTAATAGGAACAACAGTTACCGTTACTTGAGTAACGATTGCCAGGCACCATGCCAAGCTCTTTACATACTCAGAACAACCCCCCAGGTAGGTATTACCACTTCCGTTTTATGGATGAAGAAACTAAAACTCAGATCCATTACATGACCTTCTCAGCTTTCTATAACTAACAATCGACAGAATTGTGCTTTGAACCAGGTGTAGGATCCCAAAGCCTGTTCTTTTTCCCACTATAGCAGTTCTTCCATCCCAGAACTTCCACCCCTCTCAAGGTTTAAAGCTGGCCTTTCACCTCTGACTTGCTGCCTATGGCTGATTTACCTCTAAGTTTCTACAGGTTAGAAGTGAAGCTTTTAAGAGTACAATAATTGCTAACATGCGTATTGTATTTTCAAAATAGTTGTACCTCCCTTCTCTTGTCTGATCCTTAAAACAACTCTGCAGCTGTAGCTGAGGACTCTATGACCCACAAGGATCATTTGACCCACCTATGATCATCCCGTAGCTAATATATTCCGAGGGCCATTGTCAATTCCAGGTCATGTGACTCCAAAGCTCTAGTCCATATGGGATTCTACCTCTATACTTTTTGTGAGCCCTAGGTTTTTAGAAATGAGGGAAAGGAAAAATGGTCTTTCCAGATAGCGTACTAGCTTTCTAAACAGGAACACTATTTTTCCCCACTTGACTGGGAGTTCCTTGAGGGCTGAGAATGAATCAATGAATCCTATTTACTTTGTATTCTAAGGGCAAGCACAGAAGCCACATGACTAGATGATGAATAAACACTTATTGAATAGATGGTGTTAAGCAGCTAACTTCTATATTTCTGTGCAAGGTGAATAATTAGTGTTGTTTCACTGACCACAATCAATCTCCTCTTCTTCTTCTCAAGTTCTCTACCCCAGTTAGTGGCACCACTACCCCTCCAGTCTCTGAGGCCAGAAACCTCTCCTTCACACCCACCTTTACCTTACTAATCACTGTCTGAGTCTGCTGGGTCTGCCATAACAATATCATAGACTGGGTAGCTTAAACAACAGAAATGTACTTTCTCACAGCTCTGGGGGCTAGAAGTCTAAGATCAAGGTTCCAACTTACTTGGTTTCTGGTGTGCTCTGTTTCTGGCTTGTGGATGGCCACTCTCACTACATCTTAATATGGCCTTTTCTTGGTGCATGTGCACAGAGAGAGAGAGAGAGAGAGAGATCTCTAGTCTCTCATCTTCTTATAAAGACACCAGTTCTGCCCAATTAGGAGCCCACCCTCATGATCTCATTTAACCTGAATTACTTCCTTAGAGGCCCCACTGGGTGGGTAGCCCTTTAACATACACATTTAAGTACAGGAGACCCACAAACAAGTCCATAACAATCACTGATGTCTGCATCCAAAATATATAGTCCACTATTTCTTCCATTTAGGTTAGCCATTGATTTTATCCAACAAATAGTTATTATGTGCCTGTTGTGTACTTACAGTGGAGAACACCAACAATATGGTCCTTGTCTGCATGGAGATTTCATTCTAGTGCAAGAGACAGAAATCAAACAAATGCAATAGTGATTAAGAGCATCAGCTCTGGTGCCAGACTGCCTGGATTACATCCTCAACTTGGGCCAGTTACTTAACTGTTTATTTCAGTTGCTATAAAATGAGGGGATTAATGGTACTTACTCATAGAGTCGTTTGAAATAATAAAACAACTTTGCATTATAATGCTTATTTAATTCTCATATAATAAATGCTGAATAAATTTAGCTTTGATTCTTAAATATAAACATAAATCTGTTATTTGTGCAAATGCCTCCTAGGAAGTTTCACTTCTTCCAATTTTTGTCTCCCTCTAACCTATCCTCTCCAATGCCGCTAAAATAATCTCTGGTGACATCATCCCCTGCTTAAAACCCTCCTGCACTCCCCACTGCCTGCAGGATAAAGTCTAAGCTGTGCCCCTCCTGACATACTCCCTGCCCCCTTCTCCAGGCTTATTACTGTCCACTGCCTGCCACAGCTTTGTGATCCAGTAACACCATGGCCACACTGCTATATCTCACCTTTGTCTCCTTACTCATGCTGTACTTGTCAGGAATATGCACTGCCTGACTAATCCCTACTCCAGCTCCTTTAATATTCAGCACAGGGGCCACCTCTTCTGGGAAGCTTCTCCTTTAAACCAAAGTTTGGGCCAGTGGAATTGTTCCATATCTCTGTTTTTGAACTAATAGGCCGTATTATCAGTAATTGTTTATTAGTGCCACCCACCCACATAATGAGCATCTGGAGGGCAAAGACTGTCTTATCTGCCTTCTAACAATGGATATGACACAGAATAAGTTTTCAGTGAATGTTTGTTGAATGACTGAATGCATGACTGAAGGAGTTAAATTTTAATATAATGGAAGGCATCTGCACAGCTCTAGTGAATGAATCATTAATTATCTTCAATCATTTTGGACAATGCAGAACAAAGTCAAATTTTAAATGTTAGAAGAAAAGTGTTGCATATACTGCTTCTATGCTTCTTTAGGTACATCTGTTTATTGTAACAGTTATTTAGCCCTTTTCATGTTCAACGCTCCATGCTAAGAGTTAGGTGTATAAGATACAATCCCTGTTCGCAAAATACCCTACACCCAACTCTGATGGATAATAGCATTCCTTTCATAGAGCTAGGCAGCAGGCTGGACTCACCTTTCCCCCCACAACTTCCAACATTATAACTCAGAAGTCATATCTCAGCATATAAGTATATGGATGAGACAGACCTGTATATAAATCTTTAAAACAGAGTGCAGTGATAGAAATATAAAAATGCAATGAGAACACGGAGAAGAGATTAACTATGGTTATTTTACTTTTATACAATTTTTACTAAAGTTTCTAAGTTTCTATACTGCATATTCATTATAGGAAATTGAAAAATATGGAATGGTAGACCAAGTATGAACATCACCTAAAGATAATCATCCCACTATCCTGAAATGATCATTCTTAATGTTTTGTCATGTTAAAAATGTATTGCACATAATAACAACCTTAATCAAATTGTTAAAATAAAAAGAAAAACCATGGTCTTGCCTTCTTCCACAAATCAAATATCCCATTGTAATCCCAAGAGTGATTTTTTTAATATAATGGTATTATGTTCACTGTAGTCTCCTTGGGATTAAGTCCTATAATTGAGGAAAACTAATTTATAAAACAGAGCCTTAGAGATTTATTGAACTTAATTTCTAAAGTCTACTACTCTATTGGGTTGTTTTT